ACCAGTCCCTCCTTTTTGCTGTTCCTGTTGCATTTTACAGTCACCAAGGTGACTTTCTCCCTGCTCAGCTCCCAAGATGTGACTCCCCAAAGTGGGCTGCTTGTCCCCCCAGCAGAAAATAGTCACAGCAGCAGCAGAGGGTGTGGGGGCAGATGCTTTTTGGGCATAAGAACTGGCAGTTTTTAGAGCCTCCAAATGAGTAGGTGACTGTGCTGAGGCTCTTTCTCCCACCACAAATCACGAAGCCAAATATCTCAGTTGCGCTGCATGTCTGCAGCAGTTCCCTCTCCAGGGCTGGCTAGTGTGGGAAGGAAGGGCTCTGTTGGCACACAGCTTGCCCAATCTCTTGCCTGTGTGTGGCCAAACTTGAGGGGACCATGTGTTCAAGATGCACATGTGGGCAGGGCCCTTCTGCCACTTCTAGCCTGCTTGGCTTCATCAGGGACAGCCAGAGCAAACACGGACCTGCCTGCAGCCAGGCAAATCCTGAAGGGATCTGGGCACTTGGAGAGAGATTCTTGTCAGCATCCCCCCCGGATCCCTGCATACCCCTTGCCTGCTTCTAGAGAAGGGAGGGAAACCAGTCAGCTGGAGGTAACAGGAAGAGCTGACCCTGTGTGCCCTGTGTCCTACCAGAGAAAGGCCTTTTCCAGGGGAACAGATGGGTTTAGGTGCCATTTAAAGCAGCTCCTGCTTTACCCAAGAAAGCCTGACAAAATTTCAGAGTGGATTACACAAGCAGTTTATAAAACAGAAAGTCTGGCAACACATCCCCAACACCACGGAAAGCCTTTTTAAGCAAAGCTGAACAAGAGAAGTCCAAAACAGCCCCTGTGTCCTTGAAATTCAGGCAGTGCTACTGACTTAAGCTACCTGTGGCTGAACCTGAGTCTGAAACTGCTGCTTCTCCTTCTGGTCCTCTGTTCCCACTCGTGGCAGCTCAGTCAGTGGAGACTTTTTGGGAATGTGTAACAGCATGGCTCCATTGCTCCTCATGAGCTGTAAAGGCCAAAAGTGCAAAGGCAAAAGGTGAAGAATAGCAATTTCAGAATAGCAATCACACAAGCAGAAGTTGCCATTGGTGTCATGACTTGAAACTTTTCAGAGTCTAGCCACTGATTTAGCAAGTGCTGCCTCAGCCTCTCAGCACCTTCCTGTACACTATTTTCTTCAGGGACCTGACCAGTGAGAGCTAGCAATAGCTGCCAGAGACTCTCTTTCTTTTGCAGTCATATGAACACCAGCGTTACAACCAACATGTGCATTGGAGCTGCAAATGCTCACAAGTTTGCAGAAGACAGGAAATCCCTCATCATGTTTAATGAAAAAGCCCAACACACAGAAAAACAAAAAAAGAATTATTTGTTCTCTTCCAGTAACAAAATCAAAGCAGTGAAAGTGGTGAGACAGTCAGACTTGGTTAGAATAATCAGTATGGACAGAGCAAAGATTGGCTTGAATGAAATTTAGAGAGAAAAATGTCCTCCCATCCTTCCTCCGTGCAGAGTTGTACAACCCCTGCTGCCGTTGCAGAGGTGATAGCTTTGAGAAGAGCCAGGGCTGGCTTTCAGTGCTGAGCTGATGGAAACACATGTACGCAACAGGTGAACATAAAAATGCAGAGGAAATGAAAACATTTTCTAAAGGAAAAAAAGCCCTAAACCCAGGAGTACAAACCAGAGTGGAGGAAATAGAGTAGAGTCAAGGCAAAAGGCTGCCAACAGTGAAAGGAAGGCTGCAGTTTTGGCTCACTGCTTAAGCAAGTCTGGTTCTGATAAAGGGACACCTTCAACTACACCAGGTTGCCCCAAGCACCACCCTGTTGTCTTATACTATATACTATAATTATAGTGCAAGGATTCCATATCACCAGAGTTTCACACCTCCTCGATGTTTCTCGTAGGCAGCTCCTCTAAGCACTGACTGCTCCTGGTCCTTGCAGCAGCCATCTGACTCCAGATCCCACCAATCCACTCTTTTATACCACTGCTCTTATTGACTACAGGTGTGGCCTGTTAAGATCAGGCCTGCTCCTAATCTTTAGTAATTGGTTGAGCTGCAACTCTTTAGGGGATAAGATTACATTCTATACCACCCATACTGTATACCCCTACAATTCCTCCTTTTTCTTTTAATTTAATTAAGAGTTGCAGCATTACCAGAAGAACATATTCAAATAAATTAACATTATGACATATTTATACATTTAATTTAGAACTAAGAGTCATGCAAAGGTTCAAACAGCATATTATAGTACAGATATACATATATATTTCTAAATGTTAGTTCAGTTTTATATTTTAAAAGCGCTTATCTTCATGTTTAACAAACACTAATAGCTGTAATTGATATATTTTGTCAATAGTTTAGTATTAAAATCATGTTTCCCCGAGTCCATGGGATTATGTGGTCAAATCCCATTTCCCTGAATCCACAGGGTTCATATGGTCTAGTCCCGAATCCACAGGGCAATATAGTTTAGTCCCGAATCATGTTGGGGGTCACCATTTGTTGTCTTATATAGCAAGAGTTCTATTATCACTATAGTGCAAGGATTCCATATCACCAGAGTTCCATACCTCCTCGATGTTTCTCATAGACAGCTCCTCTAAGCACTGACTGCTCCTGGTCCTTGCAGCAGCCATCTCACTCCAGAGCTCACCAATCCACTCTTTCATACCACTGCTCTTATTTGCTACAGGTGTGGCCTGTTAAAATCAGGCCTGCTCCTAATCTTTAGTAATTGGTCCAGCTGCAACTCACTGGGGGATAAGATTATATTCTCTACCACCTTCATTTACCCATAGTGTATCCCCCTACACCACCCAACCTGGACTTGATTGGAATGTTTCTGGAGACGGGGCATCTCCCCCCTACCCGGGCCAGTTTTTCACCACCCTCACTGTAAGAACTTCTTCCTCATACCTAACTTAGTTCAACTCTCTTTCAGTTTAAAACCATTATCCCTTGTCCTATCATAGCAGGCTGTGCTAAAAAAGTTTGTCCTCATCTTTCTTCCAGACCCCCTGTGATGCTGAAAGGACATGATGAGGTCTCTGCAGAGGCTTTGCTGGGCGAGTGCAAAGCACTGGGGTAAACATGGATAAGTCAGCAGAACTGATGGAGCAAAGTGTTCTCACACATTTGAAAGCAAAATGACTGAAATGTAGCTGCTGTTGCAGGATAGGACCGCATGTTAGGAGGGTATTTTCATACCTGAAGGTATTTTCACAGGATAACAAATTTGTACAAATTTTCAGTCTCCATATTTCCCATTTCTCTGACCAGATTTCTGGTGGCTCCTTCTGCATGGAGTGTTTCCACAGGTGTTCCTTATCTTTCCAACCTTCCTGCTAACAGACAGAAGGAAAAGAGAGGGAAATAATGACAAATAAAGGATTTCCAGGGCTATAACTCTTCTTACCTCAGCATGGCCCCTTCTGTCTTGTGACAGTGAGCCAGGGCTGGAGCTTGGTTGGAGCCTGCTGGGTTTGGTCAGTGCTGTGCACAAGGCTCTGAACAGCCCTTCCTCCTCCCCAGAGAGCAGGAGCAGAGTCCTTTTCATGCCTGTGCCTCATGCCACACAATTCAGAAAGGCATGCAGAAGGGCAAACACCCAACCAGCACTTAAACAGCCTGAAGAACCATTCCTGAGGAGATAAAGGGTGAGAGAGAAGCGTCAAGATGAGGGTAGTGCATTTTGTGAGTGTAGCCCTAAAGTAAATATTTGAACAGCAAGCTGGAATTCAGCCAGCTGGAGTATTTTATTTAAAGGAATCATCTTAGGGACAGCTGAAGCTGGCATCAGGGTGGTACAGAAAAATTAACCACGTCCTGGCCACAACCAGGACTGAAGAGTTTGGGCAAAGCAAGGGAATGACTGAAACTACAACATGAGGAAGGAAGATACAGTCATAATTAGATATAATTTCAGCATGATGGTGGTTTTCAGACCAAAAATAAAACCAACAAATCTTCCAATTGAGCGTGCACAGAGCATAAAAACATTAGAAAGACGTTTAGAACATGTTATTCATCATTTAGAAAGATGTTTAGATCTTTAGCAATAAGAAGCTGTATGAAGGCAAAAGAGGACTTCATGACAGAAGAAATCTGTTTCTCTGAGGGTGGTTGTACAGCACCCGGTGGTTTCAGTGGAGCAGGCATTCAGGCTGTTTGTAGCCTCAGACTCCACATAAACAGGAGGATGTGGTTTTCATGTCAGGGATGATGAATGGGGAATCTCTTCCTAGAGCCAATTCACCCCATCCCTTCTAGAGAGTCAAAGACAGAAAAATTGGCTTTTTTACAGCCGAATTTGGAAAAAATGCCAGTTTTGGGCCATTGGGATGGCTCTGTTTTGTGTGCTTACTCTCCTCTGTTTGAGAAATGCTGGGGAAACAGCATTCCCTGGTTTCTGGGTGCATTCCTTAGAGGTGGAGAAGGATGGAGCTTGCAGCCTTTGACAAGGAAGACAGAACAAGATCTACAACAAGAGAAGGAAACACTTGTAGGTGTTTTTCCTTCCAGATGCCCATTCAAACATTTCAGCTAACATTAACAAAAAAAAAAAAGCTTAAAACAGACTAACCAAAATCACTTTTAATCAGGTTTTGTTTCCATGGCACCTTTGATGTCATAAGCTTAATGGCTCTTCGGTGATCCATAGAGTCTTCCAGGGGAAAAAAAAAGAAAAAAAAGGCTAGACAACCTGAATGCCAAATGTTGAATACACCTTTAAAAATATCCTTTCTGAAAAGTTTTCAGGTCTCCCTTCTCTTTTAAGAACCAAGAGAAACCAAAAAATCCAACCAGGAATTTCTCCTCCCATGAGTCCTCACCCTGCACATCAATGGAAATCTTTGCAGAGAAGTGGGGATAAATATGGAGACCCACAAATACATTATTAAACTGCAACGGAAATGCATAAAAAGACTGCTATAAAAATAGCCAGAAACCATTGCTTGTTTTTTTTTGTTTTTTTTTTTTTTGTTCTACAGATGCAAACTCTCAAGAAACATCTTTCTGTCAAAACTGAAACAGATTGTGGTGTTCAGCAGCACATTTCCCTGCTAGGAAAACATTCTTGGTACAGTATTTTTGCTCTTTGTCTGATGTTTTTTCCAAGGATTTTCTGATTAAACGTGGTGATGATGGATGACAGCAGTCACACTACGGTTGCTACTAACACACACAAGCCTTGCCAGAGGTGAAGTAGATGTAATTTGCTTTTATTTAAAAGCTTGTGCTCAATAATACTTTCACTGCCTGATATGGCACTTGTAGTCAAGCAACATTCCCAGTTCCATCAGCCCTTAAGGTCCTGGTTTGATTTTGTATGAAAAAAAAAATGGGGCAGACCTTTGGCTTGAAGGTTTTCTGGGATCTCTGCCACAGTTTGGAGAGCAGCATATTCCTCTTCCTGGTGGTTTTGGTGTGTGTAGGAAAGGAAATAAATCTTCAGATGACTCACTGCCGGACACGGGCAGTATCATGGAATGTACTGAAAAATAAGAAAAGTCCTAATCCTGATTGGTTCTTTGAAGTAATGATTTTTATATGCCGACAGTAAAATACACAGCAAAGGTACACTGTACTAACTTCAGTGGAAAGAACAACTTAAAAATTCTAATTTGAAAAGGAAAACTTGATAAAACTCTGAGTAAGAGATGTAAAACATGCATATCAAATGATATTTGTACAACATACGAACAAAATAAAACAGCTCTTGGAAATGGCTGGTGGGGGAAACAGGGCCAGTGATTCCCTGATGTGGAACCTGGACAGGATCAACCTCTGGGTGCTGTGGGAGCCTACAGGGATTTTGGATTGGTGGAACTCCTTGGCAGTGGCACCTAGGGGCAGCAGATGCTCTCTGAGTCAGAGGAGAGGAGGAAGTGAGGGAAAACTCACTTGTTTTCACTTGAAAGCTTGGTGACACTAGGGGCAGTGGGAGAAAAGGAGGAAAGGAGGTGCCTCAGTCAGAGCCAAGGTTGCTCTGCAGGCTGAGGTGAGCACCATGGGGAAACAAACTGTCCTGCTGTGAGGCACGAGGCCCGGGGGGATGCAGGGACCCAGGAAGGGATGCAGGGACCCAGGGGGGATGCAGGAATCCAGGGGGGATGCAGGGACCCAGGAAGGGATGCAGGGACCCAGGAAGGGATGCAGGGACCCAGGAAGGGATGCAGAGATCCAGGGGGGATGCAGG